ATAATTTTACAGTACATAGCAATACTGTTCTAGATAGCAACTTTAAATATTTAGTTTTGTTCTCAAAGCTAATGTTAAAAGACAACATTCATTATCAAAAATAACTGATCAGGCCCATTTAACAAGGAAGAAAATATATGAAGACAACTTAAGTATAAGCACTTGAATTGGTCTGAATAACACCGAATGGTTAAAAAAAAGCTGGAGAAACCCGATGAGCACCTACTTATTATATTGTCTATGAATAGGTCTTATAAAAATCTCTTCTCCAATCTTGGTAATACATGCAGATCAAGAATAATTGTGAACTGAGCCTGTGCATATATATTAAAGCCACCCTGCAAGGGACAAGCAGATAAAGGAATATGTAACGATCAGAGTCTTCCAAAGTCCATCTGCCTTCCCAGGCCTAAGCAGCACCCGTGTGCATTTGCATTCCCACTGGTTTATAGACAGCTGCTCGGTAAAACACAAAGTTTTTATTTGCAGTCAGCAGTACAAAGGTGAGCATGCACTCCTGAAGCCTTTCACACTTAAAAATTAGCTTCTGTCTAAACATTACATACAAATAACCTACAAAGATACAAAGAACAACCACAGAATTTACTGGCACCTCGGAAAAAAAAAAGTGATGTGAGACAACTTTAAAATCTAAAGAGCATTACCTTTCAATTATCATGGCAGGATGAAAGAAAGAAAAAAACATATTGTTAGGTGCAATTATAGTTAATCTACAAATTCTTATCAGCTAAAAGAACAGTCAGTAACCCATAGATTTCTACCTTAAAGCTCTTGCTAGTAGAATAAAAGGGTATGGCCATTTCACCATCATCCAGCAGCTGCAATTAGCAGGCATTTGTCAAAATACCAAACAAACATTTTGCAAACAGTAAACGAGGTATAGCAAGTTCCTTTAATAAATGTCATGTAGCTGATTTGTTCTCTTCAGTTGCTGTTGCCAGAGAAAACTGCCAATTTTAATATGCAGGACTTCATTTGGCAATAAACTCACACTTCTTAAGAGAATTTACATTTATAAGAGTTAATATTGTAAAATAATGTCTTGAAGCTGACAGACATTGATCCAATAATAATTTCAAAATTGCCCTTAGCAACTCAAATCAAATCTAATCTGCTGTAGCACAAAACACTGACCTGGCATGCTGAGGCTTCTGACTTCCGTAAGTACTGAACACAGTAAGGATGCAAAAGTTAACAATTCTCCAAAGCGGAGTTTTTCTAGTAGAAATTTAATAGAAGAACGTATATTGCTGTGTTTCCTAGGTAAAGGCATTTAAAGAACCAACAATCTATTGCCTATAAGGAAAAAAAAATGAAGGTTATATTCCCCTTCCTCTGTGCCTGGGTATTCTGTGCTCTCAGGACAAATCCGTTTTCCGTGAAAATTAGGGCTAGCTGGCTCCATGAAGAGGGATCCCTCATTCCTGGCGAGTGATCCATGCTGGAAGGGCGCGCACAGGGGCACCCCTTCCTCCCGAGGCCACCCGTCCCCTGGCTGCCTGGGCTTGCCAGGCCAGCGGCTTCCTCGGGAGCCTGGAGGCACCGTCACCTGCAGCACTTCCAAGCGGGAAGCTCCCCAGTCCCAGCTGATTGCTTTGTTCGCTGTCCACATCATTCCAGCATGGACGGAGCTTAAGCGGTACCTGACGTTTCCCTGAGAATGTGCTTGAGGTGTCTGTATCACCAAGAAAACTTTCATGGAGTACTACATAAAATCATRGCTTGATTTTAAAAGCAAGGATATCCTTGCTTTTGTAAAGCATATAAAAATGTAAGAGCATTCACATATGGAAGAAGGAGAGGAGGGAGAGCAGGAAACTTGCTTAGCCTATCATAGGACTTCTGACATCTTGTAATATTCCCACAGCAAACTATCACTACCATGTAGACTCAGCAAAACCACAAGATTTTTTTTTTTCCACTTGTGCACCAAATGTTCTGAAAGAGCACACAAGCCATCCAAGTTTGGCAGCGTGCTATCACCCTGACATTAGGCAATGTTTTCATTAACTRCGATGGTGAAACAGAATGTTTATACAGTTTATGGACAAGGCTGAACTGGAAGGGTTTGCAAGCACTCTGCTATGAATTGTAGTCCTGCTTTCCAAGCTCAATAAACCAGCAACGTGATCAGAAGTCATTAGAACAGAGTTCAGCAAAAGCAAGAGCAGAGCTCTAAACTTGAGAAAGGAAATAAAGGACCCAACGTGCAAGACAAAGTAACGGGCTTGGTAGCTGCACTGGAGAAACTAAATCTTTAGGACACCATCAAAGCTAGGTAAGTCAGTGCAGAAAGACAAAAGACAGACAAAATTACTGCAGAAAGACAAAAGAACAAAACTCATGCTCTACAAGAGCGCAGTCCATGTGAAAGGAAGATAAATCACTCTCTGCATCATCACTGCAGAGGCCTCAGCTGAGGCAATGTGACACTGTTTTGGGATGCTTCAGCACTGACTAAGAACCCCCGTGCAGGGGATTCTGCGAGGCCGGGCGGCCCTCAGGGCTGCAGCTACCACGCGGTMTGGGGCTGCTGCAGGGACACTTAGAGGAAAACGTGTTGACTGCAGCCGCTGCCTTTCCAATAACACCCCAACTGAGGGCAAGTCCCGAGTGAAGCCCTTGGGAAGAGCCTTGTGCCCCCCTGCCCATGGTAACTTTGCCCCCCAAGGAAGGCGGTCGCCCTTCTTGCTCGCTCTTTCAGAGCCATCACCTCTCATCCCGGCCTGCAGGATGGCCCTGCCTGTTTGCCTTGCAACGCTCCACACTCCCCTTCCTCCCCGCTGCTCCCAGTATTTAATGTCTACATCTCTCTCATTTTCAAGTTCTCCCTATTAGAAAGGGATGYAATTTAGAGACAAACTTTTCTTATATAAAAACAAATTCTCCTTTCACTTCTATTTGTCCTTTGAGCCCCCCTAAACATCCTGAAACATCTTCCTGTTTAAGAAGGTCTTGCAAATTTTGACCTCCCCTTTGTTCCCCTGCACTGTCCATCTTTACTGGTGATGCTGAAAATCTTTTGTGGAAGATAAAAGCTAAACCATACCTTGTCCCAGGATGTCTGAGCATTATTTAGTATAGTTTTAAGCTTTATTCTAATTACAAGAACAACAGATCTCTGCTCCAAATGGATTCCGATATCATTACTGATAGGTGTGAATAATCCATTTAGAGTCTTTTCAAGTCTGTTTCTTTATGCTTTTCTCCGAGATTCGCAGACTTCCCAGCATTTTGAGGTCCCGTAGGGAAGGGGCAGGAAAGCGAGGGCCGTGCAGGGCGCAGCTTCACCTCCGTGCCTCGCTACGGACGTGCAGTGACGGGAAGCAGGTGACTGCACACTTGACTGCTCGCATCCTGGTGCAGCTGCCATGCAGAGAGCAGCACACGCCAAYATTTGCATGACTCCTGCCTCCTAACTGCGTCGGGGGGCCGCATGGGGCATCTAGGCAGCACTTCCACAGCCCCCTTTGTTCCCCTTTTGTGCTGGATATTACTCTTACTAAACCAGCACACAGTGAGCTTAGAGGCATCCACCAAATGGCTGTAGATATTCTCTAGTTTTGGTCAAGGTCAACCTTTAACTTAAAGATTCCTCTGTTAGATAACTTAATTCACTTAAGTTGTTACTTCCGAAAGGTTTCATCCAGCTTACCATAGTATAATGTATCACAATCTCAATATGTTAACTGGTAGCTTCCAAGAAAACAATTCAAACAAAACCAGACAAAAATATCCTACAATTTACTTTCTTTATAAATTTGCTCCCTTCCACACCAGATTGGTTACAAAAAGCCTAGGATCACCTATTACACAACAACAGCTTAAAAAGAGACAGAGAAAAGAGACAAAGGTTATATGGAGCATTTGAACTRCTGCAGCATTTTAGGGCTGCAAATACTGAGCTGGATTTTATCTCATTATTTTGAGATTTTATTTCACATTGGTAGTAGATTTTCAAGCTTTCAAGTAGATTTTCAAGCTTCTATGTCTGATGCTAAAAAACTAGCAATATTCTAGAAATAACCTGCTCTGCAGAAGTGAATCCAGCTGAGGGTTTCGCAGGTAGAAGCAATTAAGAAACCAGCAAAATAAATGCTAGGGATTAAGTCTCATCAATTTATGCATAAAATTACAATCAGCTCTGTACTATATGTGCTATTGCGACAGTCTATAATGCATTTATATCTCAGTGCACATACACACACACAGAATCCACCCCAGAGTGGTCATTTATGCAGTGTCTCCACTAATAAACATGCCATTAACGAAACTAATTAGGGCAAGTAAGTCACGGGAGCGTTAGAACTTTAGACATGCTATTTAAGCAATGACATTTCTTAAAACACCAGAGTGACTGCAGAACAAAAAAGGGGTTTGAAAACTGGTGGCACACTCGGGTAAACAACGAGCAGCACCCAAGAAATCCGGATCCCGAAGCGATAACGCTTTATAAAATCAACGATAACGCCCCAAATCCCGCCCCGAGCACACCTAGGATTTGGTACTAAGAGGAAAGCCYGGCTTTAAGGAGCGGGAGCCGGTGACACGGGCCCAACAGCGGCCGTGACACGTTTCCAACTCTAGGGGCACCAGCAGCTGTTGCTGAAGAGCCCCGCTGCCATAAACACCTACGTAGGCAGGAGACTTTATTTTCCTGGGAAACCCAAGGCAGGAGCAGCAACAAGGCGGGATGGGAAGTTGCGGGCTGGGGGCGCGGGTCCCCGCGCGGCTGGGCCTGAGCGGGTTCCAGGAGACGGGGAGCGCCCGGCTCTCGGCTCCGGCCCCTTCGGGGGTTTGGGGGCCGCTCCTGGCTCTGCAGCGATGCCCGCTCCGTCTCTGCCCGCCGCGAAGCGGCGACGCGGGTCACGACACGGGCCACGACACTGCACGGCCGCGCATCCCCGCTCCCCCGGAACGCAAGCCCGTCCAGCGCCGAGCCCGGGGGCGGCCACGAGGCCGCGCCGGGGAACGTTTACCTCGCTCGGGCTTCATGGTGGCTGCTGGAGGGGCAGAGCGGAGCGCGGCGCTAGCGGCGCGGCCGCCCGGCGCCCATGGCCCCCGTGTCGCCGCAGGAGGCGCCGCCCGCCGCGCTGTCCTCCCGTGACACGGCGCCGGGCGCCGCTATTTATAACGTGCGGGCGCGGCGGCCGCTCTGAGTCACGGGCGGGGCGGGCGCCGCTGCGCGCACCTGCGCCCGGCCGAGCGCGGCGCCAACGGCTGCGCCCGCCGCGCAGCTCGGCGGCTCAGGCCCCGCGAGCGCCTTCCCCCGCCGCTCGCCCCACGCACACAGTCCCCTCCTCCTCCTCCTCCTCCTCCCCGCGCCGCCGCGCAGCGCCGCGCGCCATGGCTCGGTCTCCTGCCCTTCCTCCTCCTCCTCCTCCTCCCGCCGTGCGCCCTCCCCTCCTGCACGCCCCGCAGGGCCGCGCCGCCGGGAGGGGGCGCCGCGGGGCGCG